GATTTTTGATCAAAATGCATGGGCTATAGCCCACCAAAATGGCCAAAAATGGTCGATTTTTGATCAAAATGCATGGGCTATAGCCCACCAAAATGGCCAAAAATGGTCGATTTTTGATCAAAATGCATGGGCTATAGCCCACCAAAATGGCCAAAAATGGTCGATTTTTGATCAAAATGCATGGGCTATAGCCCACCAAAATGGCCAAAAATGGTCGATTTTTGATCAAAATGCATGGGCTATAGCCCACCAAAATGGCCAAAAATGGTCGATTTTTGATCAAAATGCATGGGCTATAGCCCACCAAAATGGCCAAAAATGGTCGATTTTTGATCAAAATGCATGGGCTATAGCCCACCAAAATGGCCAAAAATGGTCGATTTTTGATCAAAATGCATGGGCTATAGCCCACCAAAATGGCCAAAAATGGTCGATTTTTGATCAAAATGCATGGGCTATAGCCCACCAAAATGGCCAAAAATGGTCGATTTTTGATCAAAATGCATGGGCTATAGCCCACCAAAATGGCCAAAAATAGTCGATTTTTGATCAAAATGCATGGGCTATAGCCCACCAAAATGGCCAAAAATGGTCGATTTTTGATCAAAATGCATGGGCTATAGCCCACCAAAATGGCCAAAAATGGTCGATTTTTGATCAAAATGCATGGGCTATAGCCCACCAAAATGGCCAAAAATGGTCGATTTTTGATCAAAATGCATGGGCTATAGCCCACCAAAATGGCCAAAAATGGTCGATTTTTGATCAAAATGCATGGGCTATAGCCCACCAAAATGGCCAAAAATGGTCGATTTTTGATCAAAATGCATGGGCTATAGCCCACCAAAATGGCCAAAAATGGTCGATTTTTGATCAAAATGCATGGGCTATAGCCCACCAAAATGGCCAAAAATGGTCGATTTTTGATCAAAATGCATGGGCTATAGCCCACCAAAATGGCCAAAAATGGTCGATTTTTGATCAAAATGCATGGGCTATAGCCCACCAAAATGGCCAAAAATGGTCGATTTTTGATCAAAATGCATGGGCTATAGCCCACCAAGATGGTGAAAAATGACTGATTTTTGGTGAAGGAGCATGGGACTTTTATGAAAATATGATAGCACATGTTTTCCCAATGAAATCCACCTTTTTATGATTTTGTTGGGCTGTATTCCATTGCTTTTCTTGAAATATCCTCTATTTGAGTTATATTTGTGGATAAAATCATGTTTTTTATGAAGTTTGGATTTGTTCTTGTCTTCATGCGTTATATCCGATGAATTTCATCAGAAACGTAAATGTAGATTTACCCTGGAGGACTCCTTATGGAAACGGTTTTGAAACTGGATATGAAATGAAAGAAGGGACTAAAAACAATGAGTGGAAATTGTGCCCTTGAATGGACAATCGGAGCTATGAAAGATATTGGAAATCCACCTGTGGTATGATTGATTATTGCCTGGTACCCCATACTTCGTCATGGCTTAATTTGCATTTGAACTTAATGAGCTTAATAAGTGTGGCAGTTTTTATTTGTCTTTCTAGAAAAGACCAGGTGATGCTATCTATCTGAATGGAACCCTGAACGGTCGAATTTGTTAGTTGAAGGTTCCGCTTTTAGTAGCAATGGTGAAGTTGATGTCTATTTTCATTTTTTGTGGCTTCTGGTTTGCTCTAGAAGTTAAAGGTAAAGCTATAATAGCATATATATATAAAAAAACAAAAAAAAAACAAAAAATTTTTGTGTCTGTTAAGTATCTGTAATGTAGTTGTTAATGTTAGTTGTTAAATATTGTTATATCAATTGCGCTCATCCTGTAATTCAGTGTTTTTCTCTTGTATTGCACTGCGATAGGATTGTAATTAAACATATTATATATATTTGAAGACCTGTAAAAGTTAATAATAGGGCGGCAAGTTTATAGGAGTACCAGTCTTTCTGTGAATGTCTGCATTTTTGGGTATATTAGAAATAGATGCAAGAAAGCATTAAAACTGGTGTAAATTATATTGAGATATTAAAATTAATATTAAAATGGCTATCGAAGGAAGGACAAAATCCTYTGATTCCGTTGATTAGATCTCTCGTGAAAAAAGTATTTATCTTTTACATTCACAGTTATTAGTGTGATCTATTCAACAGCTAATTTATAATTTTATATGGTTGYGAACTTGAAACACAAAATCTTTGTGTACAATTCTACAATTACAGAATGAAGTCGTCGTGAGGGATAGCATGAGGGTAGTGAAGAAACCCCGCGACAGACAAATCTGTTTTAATAATATWAAGTCCTTCTAGCCGTCACAATATTTCGAATATATCAGTTTTATCCACTTTTAAAAGTWTGTGTTAAATCGGAATTTTCATTTTCAAAAATTCGTCGGAGAAAATTGGCCTGCAACGGCAGTCTAATAAACTTTACGTTCCTAAAAGTTTATTATCACCTTTAGTTTATACATTAATAAAGCGTGGTGGCATCACACCAAGCATACAAAAATACCAGGAGTATATCTATATGACTATATAGTGGGTGAAACCATTATTGCATTTCAAGATTTTCAAGTAATATGTTTCACATTTCCATATGGTCATAAACGTGTCGAGATTAAAGGTGTTTCTGGCTATATAATATAATTATTTGAAAGTTTTAATATGATTTAGAAGATTAAATTAACTTTTGTAATTTGACATCCTGAGTAATCAAATGTTTAATTCATTTAATTTATTTTAAATCATAATAGCTTCCATTTTTAGGTTCAAAAGAAATGAAGAGTACATAAAATTAATCTGAAATGCAAAAACTACAAAGTCTAACTTTCCAATATTTGGTATACCTAGCTAGAAGAAATATATGCCGACGTTCATGTAATGCAGTACTTTATGTGTACCATTGAAAAAAAGAATGCAAAATTACATTGGTAATCGGATCATTCTCCATAAATTCCCAGAAYGAAGATGTAAACAAATGCATTTCAATTCCATTTAAATGTAGTGTTTGTTACTCAGTTAGGATGTGCTATCTCAGTAGCATACGGTGGTTTAAAACGAGTATTYGTCTATAAAAGACGATAGGGCTCGGGTCCAGAAGCAAGACGGACATTTATCAATAGACGCTTTTYGAGCAAAATTCGTCACTTGTTAATTATTTCGGGATCGGTATGTCTARTTTACTAAGCATTGTCACTGGTTATATAAAGACATAACCCTTSAGTTCGTAATTTCAGGGAAATATGAGATATACAGCTCCACTGCAAAAAACAATGAAAACCGATTCAATGAGATAATTATGGGCGAGGGAGCTTAAATAACAAACAATTTCAATTTTAACAGGTGAAGGCGGCTGCAGACATCTCAAATATCTGAAATGTATCCAAGACAAAGCCTTGACAGGTCACGTGATCAGTACGGTCAGGATGCTATTGCCTGCCTTTGAGTTGTGTCAGAGTCAATGTTTCCGTCAACACGAATGCATATCATACAACTTGGGTCCAGTACTTAAACAGAGCAGGTTGTGTGAGCTAAATGGTGCTGACCACTCMACTCGCCCGAGTTTCTTGATGAACGTAACAGGCAGCGAATACTGCCCAATTCAGGTAGGTCGTCTTTGGAGAGATGGATATGTGTTGTTATGGATAGGCTTCGTTAGCAGGTAGGTAGGGGTATAGTATAGGTAGGTTAAAGTAGGCTCAAGGGGGTTGGGTTGCTAGATATAGGTATAGGTTCGCGTAGGTAGCAATGCGAGGTAGGTAGGAGTATAGTAAAGGTAGGTTAAAGTAGACTCAGGGTGGTTGCAAGAGGGGTTGGGTTGCTAGATAGGTATAGGTTCGCGTAGGTAGCAATGCGAGGTAGGTAGGGGTATAGTATAGGTATAGGTTAAAGTAGACTCAGGGTGGTTGCAAGGGGGATTGGGTTGGTCACATATTGGTATAGGTTCGCGTAGGTTCGCGTGGGAGGTAGNAGTTGTGGCTATTCCGGTGTTATAAAACTATTTTTTATTGTAAATAGCAAATACAGCAGATGAAAGAAGAACAAGCTTCAAGTGATRGCGGTCTGAATGGATGTGAGTTTCCTGTACTTTTCTACAAACCTTAAAGGACGTTTTTCACTATTGAAATACAATTTGTGGCAATACCTGTAAATTAGCAATATTTTTTATAATAGAGCTAAGTGTATTTTGACCACGTTAAATAAAGTTTATCTTTATCTTATCTTATCAAGTTTGAAGTGATGAAGTGGGTGTCAATGAATAAGGTTTTCATTTATTGTGCACCCTATAATGCTTTTATATTTACATCTTTCTAATCGATAAACTGATTTTCTGTGTGAGTTTCTCCTTCTCCATCTCTACTTCATCAAAACCAGTGTTGAATGCATCTAGCATCGAGTTGCTTTGTGATTTGCGCTTTGCATTGCTTATGTTATTGTTCATTGTCTCAACAGTGTATGGTTTAGATGGATCTGGACTATTAAAACATCTTTGTGAGGCTGGTTTACTTCATGATGTTTCGAGTCTTGTTGGAAAGGCACAGGCAAGAGATGAAGGCAATTTAAGAAAAGTTCAAGTCCAAGCTCGTGGTAAGACTACATTAATGATAAATATTATTTCATAAATATACACATTATACTTTATCAAGAAATGGACTCTAGCTGTAGACTTGAACAAACAAATCAKTGACTCAGTTAGTGTTTAAATTATTTAATTAATTATGTCAAATATTGCATTTCCGTTTATAGAAATTGATGCACAAATAACAACAAAACTCAAAGAAATTGACAGAATGAAACTAGAAGTGCAGTCTTTGAGACTAAAGAGGAAAAGATGTGATGAAGAGTCTGATCGGTTGAAGAAGAGATTACAATCTTGCGTCAATGTGATGAGAGAAATTCCAATCTCTTCCAACGATGCTAGAATACAAAAGAACCACGATCAGGAGAAGGAATAGTGTGATTATTACCAACTGTGCAGCTCTTGGAACAAATTTCCTAGATGCAATCACCGAAMATTCTAGAAACGATCATCAGCCTGGGAAGACACTCAACAGATATTGGTTAAACAATGGTCCAACTTTCTAGACTACAAATGATACAATGATCAAAAGACGTCTAGAACTAGAATCAAACATTTTTAGAAACAGGCGAACTAGCTAATCACTTTGCCATTGTCTAGGCAAATCACATGCTTCAAATAACACACCAATTTCATCGTTCATTTTTCAGCAAGCGTGAATGCAGTTTATTGAAAGCTGATTTTGGTTCATATGAGCAAAACGTTGATATCATCTAACTTGAGAGTTAAAAATAATTTGAATTCCAAATGTTATTTATGTGAATAAGTTCTTGTAAAAAAGAGAAAAGAGAACACACACTTTTTGAAATAGAAAAAATTCCTTTCAAACATCTTAATTTATTTACCATAATCTTCAATGTTTAATAATGACAGCCAGTATTTGATGGAACAGTTCTCTTATATTTTCCCTTTATTAACTCGATAAAATTTATTATGTTAATTCATTGAACTAGATTGTGTCATAATTGCTCTTTTTCTCCCTTCAACGGAAATTCCTTATTCTCTGCTGCATTCCCCACCCCCCCCTAAATTCCTCAACATGTGAATTTATATAGTCACTAATGTCACCATTTACAGCAATTTTGATCAAGACTTCTTGATTTTAACCGATTAGTTGGCTATAGACTACCAATTTTAAGGAAAGATTCATCACTTTATCAAGCTATACCATCGACGATACAACCCGACCGAAATATCAAATATAACTCAAACACGAACCTCTAAAACGCGATTTTGATCAAAATGCATGGCCTATAGCCCACCAAAATGGCCAAAAATGGTCGATTTTTGATCAAAATGCATGGGCTATAGCCCACCAAAATGGCCAAAAATGGTCGATTTTTGATCAAAATNGCTATTAACTCTTACTTTCTCTAGAATCCCTGTTTGTCAAACCCTTGTCCATCAGGAAGACTTTGTACTCCTGACTTGGCSTGGAACACGTTTAACTGTAACGGTATCGTCAAAGATATGTCATGTGTTGGAGTATGATGAAGGAAATGTGTATTTTGTTGATTTATGATAGTGATGTAAATAATGATGCGTTAATGTCGATAATTATTATCTGCTGTTGTTTCCGTGGTGATATTAGTAATAATAATGGCATTAACAACGATTYTAATGAATACTACTGTTGCTAAGTAACAAGGATGAACATCTTCTATATAGACGGAGGCTGGTCGCAGTGGACTCCATGGACTGGAAGGTGTTCTGTTTCATCACAGTGTTTACGAACTAGRTCTTGTGATAGTCCTACTCCACACAATAMCGGGAGGCAATGTATTGGAGAAGACAAACAAACGAACCAATGTCCATTAATACCAGGAAACACTTTACAAGGCGAGGCTTTATAGATTTATTGATAAGTAAAACAAACTTAATATTGGATATGAAGGGGTAAATCCACTGACCATCACCTTTGACTGATAGAATATTCCTCGCGATCCATTGAGGTTTTTTTTTTGCATATTGACTGAAAAGGAATTATTGTACTTCAGGCTGTTCAAGTCCATTGGGAATGGAGGATAGTCGTATAAAGGACAACCAAATCACAGCATCATCTTTCGCACAGTCTTACAAAAAAATCAGTTTATATGCGCCATGGTAATTATATAACAAGCAACATGATTGGTTTGATAGTATATAACAAGAAACACGATTGGCTAATAAAATATGCTTATAATACGTACCTTATTTGGTTGTTCGTGCAATATGCTTGGCTGATGATGAATGCAACGGTGTCAGTGCGGTAACAACTGTTGTTAYCAGCTGTCGCAATGAAAAAATAGCCTTGTGTACTCTAAAGCGTGAAAAGGTACTAGCCAAAATAATAAATAATGTCGACACAATAACAGAAAACTAAGAAATTAGCATAATTCAGAAACTTAGCAGTATTTAGTAGTCTTCAGTTAGAGCGAAGTCATTAAACCCGTTACCCTGGGAGCAGAGTGTATTTCCTTACCTCAATAAAGCGAATTTTTATTGAGGTAAGGAAATACACTCTGCTCGCAGGGTATAAACCCGTGAAACAAAATGTGACTATTAACGTGTGATCATCAAATATACACAAAAGAATAATACTTATTTCACGGGTTTTTTGCTTCATTCTGGCTAACCTTTCATCCTTTTTGTGTTTGCGCTACTAGAGCAAACGCAGGAAAACCATGAAATAAAACCAAAATTAATGCGAACAAATAGCAGCTATATAGAGACAGTTTGTCAGTATCAATGAATCAGAASGCAATCAAGATGAATCCACATGAGACCATTTTTAATTCGTTCTGGTTTATTGATACTGACAATTTGCCTCTAGATAGCCGCTATTTAGTTTTATTTCATGGTTTTCGTGCGTTTACTCTGTTTCCTACTGCACTACTACAAGCACATTGTCGTCTTCTTTGAATAGGCATGGTCGCCTGAACAAAGTAAGAACTGCCGACGATAACATCGGTGGATGGGGGTCCGGCGGAAAAAAAGAGACTTTAATTGGAAACTATATCGAGATTGACCTTGGYAGTATTAAGGTCATTACCATGGTAGCAACTCAAGGCCAGGACCAAGGAACAAAKTGGGTTACTAAGTACTCATTACAGTACAGTAATAATGGTAGTAACTGGAACCACTACGAGGGTCCATGTCTCAAGGTTAGTTAAAGCTCCTTTGGGTACCCTGTGTCTCCTCTTCAAATCCTTTGTCACATTTAGGCCAAGGACCCGTAGTTTRGTTTTTGTTAGGAAGAGAGAAGGGAACTAAAGCGAAGTAAAGATTCGAAAAAATAAAATGAATAAAGAATAGAGAATAAAGAATAGGAAAAGGGGATGGAAATTATGATGGAAAAGCAAGTGGAACGAGAAATGGAAGGACTAGCTTTCTCTCATCRTTGAAGCATACAAATCGTGAAATAGACCAAATCGTGTATTCCGTGTAAAGTTGTCAACTACTTTTGTCTAAGATTGTTGCTAACAGATATTTGTTTGAGTGCAGTATTTTCCTGGAAACAGCAATGCCAATACCATTGTTACCAACAAGCTTGAATCACCAATCAAAGCCAGGCATATTCGACTGATTGTGGAAGGGTWTTATAATTGGGCGATGCTGAGACTGGAGTTATATGGGTGCTAGCTCTCCTATGGCAACGAATAAACAACTGACACAAACCTTTCTAAGTGCACGTGAACATTATGGTCAGTACAACTGGGCGCACAAACATATCTATATAATATATCTATCGTACTTCTCTATCTACTGTATTTATCAGCAATAATTGTACATTTAAGATGATGAAGAAATAAAGATCATAACAAACATCCTTGTGGTATTTGTAATTTATCTGAACGCTTGTAATCCTTTCTGTCACAATACTGAGCTTGACGCAACTACTGCTGTAGCAGAGAAAGATTGCATGCGTCAGTTTTTTTTGCTTTCTTCCAATAAATATTTACAACAAATATATATTTTCTTACTCGCCTCCTATCAATGATACTCTGCCGTCATTGCATCAAAACTAACGAAATCAAAATTCCTCTAGGATCTGCTCTYGCATTCCGCTAATAGAACTACATGTTTAGAGATTACAAGTCATTTTAAAATAAACAATAAAGTTAAAACTCTGAGCTATAAAAATATTATACAAACTAAAACCATCTTGTTTTCTTATACATGGTCCTCGGAGGATTCGATCAGTAAGTATTCATGAGTGTCCATAATATCGACGCTGATCTGAAGTTAGTATTCTGACCAGAAATTSTCTTTTCTGATTAAACATTTAGTTGTTATCAAGCAGCTTTGCAACAGCCAGATCTACATTCCCACCACACGAACTTAAAGCACTTAGAATATCTCCCAGTTTTGCATCCGGCATGACGTCACGAATTGCCACTATTTTAGCTTCTTCATCTTGATTGACACCCTTCTGAGCATTTTGATTGGATGTGTGGGTTGATATGGGCTTCTTGTCTGGTTTRTGTTTATCTTTAGTCGCAGTTGAAACGTTTGGTAAGTCATCAAAAGGAGCAAGAAAGATATCATCATCCTGCGAGTCGCATAAATCCACAACTTCAGGTTTAATCTTTGGKGGTTTTCTGTCATCACTGAAGTCTATATCAACGTATGGCAACTGTCTCTTGGTTCCCGATCTCACTGGTGAATTCTTCGACTCCCTTTTTGCAAAGGAATGATTGGCTAATGATTGGCCTGGACTGGTCCTTGACGTTGAAGGCAATGAGTTAAGGTGGCTGTTTGGTGTAGAATGGGTTGCCCTGGAGACTARGTGTGTTTCGTTACTTGATGTATGTGCTGAGGTTACATGACGATCTTGCTTCATTAGACGCAGTGCCTCAAAATCACCATTTTTAACTCTAACAGAAAACACAAAACCCAGTTTCAACGCGTAAATACGATAGTTTAAACACAAGGTTCGTGTACTGCTTGATCTACATTCTCTTTCTAAATAATATTTGCTTTGCCTCAATTATGACGATATAGCGATATAAAATATGATAACAATACTCAGCTCATTATAATCATAATATAAACAAATCATCTCGAGGACTAAACRATGACACCAAAAGCAGGGCTAAAGGCAAAGGCATTTTAAAGAAACCTATTCAAAAAGGAAATGGACTGTAAAGGATCAAATAATTTTGAATAATACAATACAAAAGCTTTTCAAAGATGACGCTATGTTACTTGTAGTCATCTGCGATCGAGGCGCAGCCTACACGAGTACTTTGTGGTCCCCCTGGCTATGGCCCTGTTTATAGTGATATGATGATGATAACATTGATGTGACGACAATGATGGCACTAATAACAATGATAACAATCCTARCAACCACAACAATAAACGTTAATACTGATGGTACTTACCGTCTTTCGAGCTCCGCAGAAACAGAAGCTAAGAATTCTACAGTTGTCTCTAAGTTCTCTGTACGGATTAAATTAAAATCTCGCGATCTTTCYAGTTCCATTATTACAACCTAATGAAAAAAAAACGTCATTGGTAATTTGAAATATCTTGACATAAATAGAATGGCAATGTSCGTAAATTGGGCTAGATCTGATGCTAACCTCTAGTTGCTCTACTGTTGGATTACCACATTTTCCTACGCCACCACACCCATCCATACATCTGACACAGTAAGCTTCAGGGGTTGATTCCACAATATAGTGTAGACAAACTTCATTAGACAGCATTCCAAAGTCCTTTCTGTGGGAAAATAAATGAATCGAATATTACATGAACGTTTTCACCAATTATTCAGGCAAATTAGTCAGTCAGATCAATCAATCAATCAATCAGTCAACCAATCAAACAGTCAGTCAGTCAGTCAGATTGAGCAATCAATCAATCAATCAATCGTTCAATCAATCATTTAGTCAATCAATCAATCAATCAAAAAGTCAATCCATCAAAAAGTCAATCAATCAATCAATCAATCAATCAATCAATCAATCAATCAATCAATAAACCAGTAAATCAAGTCATCAATTCAATAAAGATATCCAATAAAAAGCAATTAATCAKTCATCTAATCACTTGTTTAATCAGSCAGTCAAACATCCAATAAAAATGSCCATTTGATAAGATATCTCCTTGARCATCATKCACTGACCTCCACTGTTTCATTTTATCTTTTTGAGAACAAAATCGTCCATCTTTTATGCTTTCTGCCAGGTCATCTATAAATGCATACACAAAAAGTGATGAATATGGGTTYATGGAAAATGAGAAATGTTGTAACACCTACCAGCTCTTTTYCTTTCAACAAGAACAGGCAATGTAACTTCCTGTCCCTTATGCCGCCAAAGCCACCAATAATCCCCACAGGGGAGATGTGCTGTTTTGTGTTGTACATTCCATTCTTTTAATCTCCTGCTTAACTGCAATTCATCATAGTTTGAATTTTAGTGCTTATCATTCCAGTTTAGTCTACTTAATCAACACTCAAGAAAAATAAAAACAGAAGAGTGTCTTCATACAATACCTCCCCTAGCCTAATTCTATCGCCTCCAAGTTCATGGTCATCGACAAGCATTATCACCCTGAAACAAAGATAAGAGCTAATATATGCAACCTAACACTGTTACTGTCAAATACGATGAATCTTGATTGAATGCTTACCCATCACTGCCACTATCATGACTGTACAAAGGTCCATCAGACTTTGTTGATAAGCTTGGTGTGCTCGATGAGTTAGATGTTTTGGCTTTCTTTTTACAGGAAGGAGCCTTTTTATTRCTTTGAGCAGATGAAGTTGTTGTGGTAGAGTTGGATGATGATGGGGTGGTATTTCTAACTCGAAATGGTGGAGGATGATTTCCTACATTCAAAAACATYGTGAAAGGAAAATTAACTTCACTACCTTTGAAAAGTATGGTCTGTAATGAGAAAAGAATGCATTTTTATAAGTCTCTGGATCATCATAAGCCTGATAGTTACCTCTTAATCTTCTTGCAACATCCTCACCTTCTTCTAACAGTTCATATACTGCTTTCTTACCTGATGTGTGAAATGATTACAGAGATAAGTGAAAAAAAAAAGAACAAGAAAGAAAAAATAGAAAACCCGTATTTACCTCTTGTTCTTTTCTTCAAATATCCTCTGCTGATTAAAACATTGACTCTCCACCAAGCAGGACAAAGGACTACAACAGACAAACATGTTTTATTGAAACACACATTGTATTATTAATATTAAAACAATGACTTTGATAAAGATGTAATCTTAATAAAGATGTACTAGCCTGGTGCCCCATAAGCAGATGGTTTGGCTACATTAAACTTCTCTTCACAAATCAGTGAACAAGCTTCTTTTAACTCGGACTCTTCAACCAATGGCTTGCCRCCCTCTGATGACCTAAATGTAWGTAATAAAAATAATCGCATCTTGACTATGAGCAAGCTCACAACAAGYGATGACTTTGAGAGATACTTGTGAAATACAGAAAGRACTTCCAAACTGATAACTTCACAAAACATTCCCAGTTTTTACCATACRTTGTTATTATCTATTGACCACATCTACATAAGAAAATGTGCTCAATCAATTGTATAAGCCTAGCCTGATACAACTGGTGATAAGCTTGACTGTCTTGAAGGAGGCAAGATTAGAGAGCATTGAGGAATATATTATATCATAAGGTACCTTATTGCTTCACTCTCATTCAACATGGCAACTAATAATCCTGAACCAGTACTAACATGTTGACCTGAAATGGTTAAAATACAACAGTTCATTAAAGCTCTTCATTACCAGCCATAATTGATTGCTTGTTTGGAATACCTGGTAAAGGGTCCTCATTTGAAGTGCCGCTTTCTTGTTGTATCTTGTCAAGTCTTGCTCTAATAGTTGCTCCAACCTAAAYGCAACAAGACAGCTGTCAAAGCAACACCTTTAATACCTTTTACCATGTCATACACAGTCAATGCTTAATCTACATTCAAATAAAAGTGGTTGGTCAGTATATGTGTTAATGAAGTACAACAATGCTGTATACACCATGCAGAAGTGGTAGCAATGACAGGAATTAGATACACAGGTAACCCACACCTTCTAGCATTATTTGGACAGATCTGACTGGCCCATACCAATATCTGAWAGCTACCAACCMACCAATCCTAAGGATTAAAAGCACAATAAGGTAACAYACCCCTTCTAGCATTGTTGCCTGTTTGGCAGATCTGATTGGCTCAGAAGCAAGAGACAGTGAGACTATAGCCTTAGATGTCCATTCTGCTGCTTGCTTGAGAAACTGATGACGTCGCTGTTGGTGCTCATGTTTGATTAGACCTCTGATGAACTTGTTTCTCTGTAAATCAACGAAGGACAATAATTACGACCCCTATCTCTTGTATCCCTCTGGACTACAATAAATTAGCTAAGTAGGGAAGAATTCTTCAGATCTCGATACATATCAAAACATATGGAAGGCAGAAATTGGTGACATCGATCTTACCAGATCTTTATAGTTACGAATGTTCGGTGGATTAGCCATCGAAAACACTCTAAAACCTCTTGAATCGAATAACTAGAATCTGTTTGACAAGAAGACATTCATTTAGCCCTTTACCAAGCRTAAGATCATCTAAAGGTACGATGTTTTTGAAGAAATATCATATTTCTCKAAGCACTCGAATTTTAGCGCGCGCTGCCAAGTACGTAGTGCCAGGCCTTTTGGACGTTGGTTATCCACAGGATTCCCGCCTGAACATGGAATTTTTTTTACAAGGATTGACTATACGACAATCGTTTCCTAAGAATAAGTTTTTACTTTCTCATTAGTTTTAAAACCGAAAGATTTCCCAGGAATGAGGAGTTTCCAAGAAAAGCATAATAATCCTTTATGAAATATTCACATGATTGAATAGAAACTGAAATGAATAAGAAGAGGAAGAGAATMATGATAATACAATCAAAACACTTCGGTTATACTTGATGTCTTGCGTCACTGGCTGACAAAGTCGTTTCTCTTAAAAATCATCAAAATCGATGGCGTGAAACTTTAAGTGAGCCACGTAATTACACTTTACAGATTCAGTAAGGCTAATATACTATATATTGYACAGTTTTAAGGCTTTCTTTCATTTATTTTGCCTGCGTAGCGGCCCTCGCAGACTATCATTTATTTATATGCCTTGATTCACTTGCTCGAGTATATTGCATTTCTTTTATTTGCAAATTAAAGTTTGATTGATCAAGATATGAGTATATCGAGTAAATATCGGATATTAACTCATAATCCAATCTTGTGATTTTATAGATTGTCTGAGACTGTTTCACACTAGTTTGCGTCGTTGATATCAGCTCTTTAAATAGTTGACAACTTTGATTACTTTTGTGAGTTTTGTGTTTTCCTAGAGGAACTATACCGCGCGTGTCTAGGTTCCTTTCATAAATTCTKCGTCCTTTCATGTTTGGGGATTAGTAAGGTCCATAGGATCCTYAGGWAGGGTAGCCTAAGGAATAATTTGTGTGGAARATTTTCATTGAAGCAGTTGAAATATTTCTTAAATGGATGTGTTTTYAGCGATTTTCGCGCATGGATATAGCGCCAGGGTTAAGAGGTTCCTGAGCGGAACTTCATCTGAGATCCATGTAGATACAGAGTGATCACATGACACATGCATGCGAGCATAGTTAACTATGATGCGAGATGAGGACATCTGACAGCGACCTTTATCGAGTATCTTATTTAATATACAGTTATTTCCCTTGGATCKTCAGGAGTGGATATGAAATCCCCGGCTATAAGTGATAAAATTCTACCGGCCACAGCGGGGGCTGGGTTKCAGGGGGTTTCAGACTGATGCATTATTGTTAATACCTAATCAGGGGGAAATAGAACAGGGTACAGATTGAACTATCAACACTATCAAGGAAATCAGAGAAACTTCAAAGGTTTTGAATCGTCTTCATTCATCTGGACAGCCTTCAGTACCAATTTTAGTCTGATAAGTGACTTGATAATAGAACCGTTACTTGGACTACTCACAAATAATGATCGGCATGACGATGATGGCTAATATTCGTGATTAGCGCATCGGTTATTAAGGACACGAATTCTCAAAATTCTTGATTTGAATCAGTGCGAGTTTAYTACATAACAAAATTACTTTAAAATCGTTTATAAGCGTTTCGTAATCATTGTCAGTCACATATAAGTCATATAACRCAATAAATAACCGTTTACGTAATGTCTCTATCTGACTGACATATCCATTACGTCACACTCTTTTTCAATTGAAATTCATTGACCTCCTTGAGTATTCGTTGGCCTTGAACTTGCATGAAGAAGATGCAATCTGGGAAAGGATTCTGATGGTAATGAGCTTCTTAAAGGGATTTTATATGGTTAGCGCGCACACAACCAAATATACAAAATGTTTCGTTTAATTTCAACATAGTTGGTGACTATGATTTCAAGTGTGAAATTTTCTAGTTTGCTTTGAAAAAAAAAATGTCTTAAATTAATTGTCATTGTGGTTATAACTACTATGATCATCTAGTGTGYAATTAATTTCAGTATCTACCCTATTCTACTGATTCTACTAATCGGATTAGTATTTATTCCATGGAGTAGGGTCTGATCTCGAGGAATCGTTATCTGCCCAGCGGGGAWTTTTGTGGTGAAAACGACAATCATTTAGCATCGATTGACTGAAATAACATCTCTTCTAAAACAAAAAGGTCAACCTGTATTTATCGAAGCGTATCGCAATATTCGGTTTAAAGTATCATCACAAATCGTGTTTTGCTGTCGTTACAGACTCCGTCACAACGCATGACATGTGACGGTGCTTGTGAATATGGGCCTCGTAAATGCACATAGCAAAAAATACACTAACGAAKAAATTATTTCTGCAAAATACTCGTAGTAGTTGTAGAATAAGGAAATACATAAATGTGATTTCGGTATAGTGCTAGAAATAGGTAGCGAAAGCGACACACCTTTTGACACTGAACCTCCTCGTGACAGGGGTTGTAAATACAATTGAAAAGCAGAGGTCATGGCTATTGCACAYTTTGTAAAACCAATAACGACTCAAAAGAGTAATTGGACCGCCTGATTGATGAACTGTGGAAGTTTTGTTTATGTTGTCAAGAGAAGAAAAAAGAGATTCATATAAACTTTAAAAACACCCAGGCGTAACAGCACCCTYAAACGGAATATTGACATACATCAATCAAACTACTGACAAATCTTGGTCATCGTGAATATTTCTTTTATGTCGTTGATAAAGAGAAAAACATCTTTCATCTATAGAGTGTATGTGATTTTAACATTGTAGAAAACGTCAAAGTATATGCGTCAAGGTAGCGAGTATTATGTTAATCAGTGAGCATACCCATTCCGTGAATAATCAAACCTTGAAATCATCACGAAATGATTTTGGCCGATTGAACGGAATTTTTCMAATGAGAATTAATTTTAAATTTCTCAAGATTTTTAACTTGACGCGTAAAATTAGCTGTTCAYAATTGGTTTTAGTCTTCCTATTCCTGTATATAAACGCACAAGGCAATTATATGTACGGTAGGCGCAWWTGAAATCGATCTATGCTGTAGTGTATACATCGTAGGTGGTTGGATCTTCAAAATTATTTATATTTCCAATATAATGCATTGTGAAATCAACAAATACGACCAAATACAGTATTGCATGGATTCCGTGTAGAATTTGAAAGATTTTTCATTGCGTGCTATGTGAAAAATACTAATAATCAAGCCGGATTTTGTCAAAGTACACCTAGGGGACCATTGAACACCTCTGTACAAATGACCAGATCTATGAGATCTCTAATTTMGGGTTGCTAAGTCAAAAGTTTAGAATGTTTYGTGCGTGTTCCAAAACATTGATTGCAATGACGCAGACTGATACGTGGGCGAATAASATTGAAAGTCCAAGACAAGTCTGGTCTTGCACYGYTACAAAACGCTGATCAGCAGTATCAAGCAGAAATATGTTTATCGATGTCGCGCATCAGTTGGTGTTGATCGACGCGACATTTCGAACATTGGCTTTCAACTGGCTGTCACTTGTAAATACCATCTCAAATATTGTCTCGAATTGATTGCATCGCCTTCGAATAAGATGATAGAGAAATACAAAATAAAAGCATTAATCGTCAAAACTATGTTCACTGGATATAAACAAAATTTTAACTAGATGTTTCGTTATGAATTTGCATTGGATTTGTATTCTCTGCCCATGTGGAACACTGAACTGCACATGTGGGTTCACACGCAGAATCGTCTTCATTCTGATTGGTCGACCAAGAATTCTCGTGCCCCTCGTGACCGGTTTTTTGTGTTTTAGCCAATCATAAGGCTGCATACAGCGTATGATTTCCATGACGTCTAGCGCGTGACAGGCTCTGTTGTTTTCATTTTCACATAAACAGTATTTACGATCTGCAGACTGCTCGACAAGAAATTTTTCCTCGACCACTTTCTTGGCGTCTTTTCGCTTTTTCTTCTCGGAAATTATGATGAACAACATTGAACAATTACTCGAAGCTGCCAAAATACTTGAGAAAAGAGATGAAGGTAAATTTACTGAGTTCTTGCTGATTTTTGTGGCGCATTGCATTCTCACGCCCCGTTTGGTCCTCTTTCCGCCCAAATTTAGCCAAGAAACGATCCTCTACTCCTATCAAAATGGTTAAAAAATCTACACGAAGATCACCAAGTTATAGGTAAGACATTTTTCAAGCCTTTTGGCACTCTGTACGCCCCGAGATATGGACGAAGTCTTGTTTTTTCGGGCCACTTTTGTGGTAGATTTGACAAGGATTTCGTTTGAAAGTTATGGCGCCTGGCTTGCAGTCCAGTGCTTGTGTACACAAACCAAATCCACGATTTTAACGGACTTGTTTGACAAATTAGATTCTAGTGARCCTTAGAAGATGTCTTGACTTATTTTTTGTGCATATGGTAGCTTTTGGTCGATTCAGTTTTGAAACTGAGGGGGTATGAAATTTACATACTGCCGACAACATCGGACTTTGCTTTGTCAGTTTCTGACAACATGGGTATCCCCCAAGACAAAAAATGATGGAAGCACAGCTCAGATATATTTTAAGCAACGAAAGGGGAACCCAGTGATAATTTTATTTTGGTTCACTATCCCAAACACTGCCTTAATGTCCGTAAAGTGGGGTTCAGGCGTTTCGTGTGAGCTGCCTCGGCGCTCATTTATGTTTCATAAATTATATCAACAACGGTGAAGGATAAACGCGCGTTTTTTCTTTGCTGGTTTCATCCTGAGTTCTCTCATTTTYGTAGTTSTATTTTGTCTTTCTATTGATTTRATATGTTTTGTTTATGTGGGGGTTTCTTTTTGTATTTAGGAAAATGTCGTTGTGTGTGTACTAGAGTGTCAAATTGACCCAAACCTTTTTTTTTGCTTCTTTATTTGACCATTTCGTTTCTCTCTACCACCAGTCGTACAACACACAACCAACTGGAAAAAAACCGGTAAGCCACTTTTTGAACAATATTTATTGTCTTGTCATGTCTGAAGTTTGTACTGCAGTTGTCAAAATGTTAAAAAAGCCGATAAAGAAGTATAGGGTCAGTTTTCAATTTTAAGGAGTACCGTTGACGCGGGATTTATTTTCGCGCTGTGCCACGTGGCTGACCAAAACAACACAGCACACGTGCGTTTTCGTTGGAAAAGCACTTTGTTAACGTAACCTTTCAGGAACTGTGAACGCTAAAATCTTTGATATTCAGTCAAGTTTAGTGGAATCAGGAACAACATTCAATTACCGGACTTAAGTTTATTTTTTGACATATCTGTGAAGAGCCTTGCTTTGATTTTGAAAACACCCAAACACTGACATAACTTGTCAAGATTTGAAGATTTTGTCGTGTTAATTGCGCTACTGGTACCTGTTGAATTTGTTTTCAACTTCTATAAGTGAATACAACAGTCCAAAAGTATTTTTGCTTGACTGATTTTGTAGTTTTCCTTATTGTATCATTAAGAACGAAACAAAGAAACTTGAACTGACCACGATTTTGACACGAGTCGCCATCACGCTCCTTTGTCTTGTGTCCACACCATCGTAATATATGATTTCCGTTGTTTTACAACTTGATAGTTCACATATAGGAAAAGGAAGTTTAATGCGAATTGTTACTTTGCATACATGAAATAAACATAATTTGCACCATCTGCAATCAACAATTTGTGTCTAATTTGTTTCCTATATTTTAGACGAGCACATTTAAGGGACTGTCTTGAATTGTTGAAAGATCTTGTACCCTCCCCTCCAGAACATCAAAAAGCAACTACATTAGCTCTTCTTCAGAGCGCTCAGCAATACATCAAGGTAAATCAACAAGCTTTCTTGGACACTTCTCAATGTTAAACATAATTCAGCAGCTGGAACTAAACCCAAAATCTTATTTTTCAAAAAACCTTTCATGTTAACTTCCCATTTTATAAATTCAAAGAAATACAGTGGATTTTATTAGTGTATAGACCTAACCTACAGAGATTTAGAGATAAAAATAGAATTTAGGATTCAACAAGGCATTATACATAAAACAACCTGTCAGAGTTGACCACATCACAGTGTGCCACAATCCCATGTACTGCAATTGATTAGCAAGATATGATGCTTATTTAATCAGATTTTTTGCATCRTACATCTAGATGCCTTTTCAAGTTGACATGTAGCGGTTAAAATTTGTGAGGTTACCGTAGCCTTTAGGCATAATATATTCTCAAAGAACAGGTGCCTAGCCTATTAGTATTCAAATTAAGAGCAAATAAAATCAGATTAGAACAACAGTAAGGTTCTGGTTGCCAGGGTTCTGTTAGAGCATGATTTATTCTCATTCTTTGAGCATGTATGAAAACAAACTGGGAGTCAATGTGCTTTAAATAGTTGCTATAGTAAGACATATAGTTGTACGGCCAAACAGATCAAGACATAACACTATAACAATAGACGTTGTACTCTATATCCCACAGTCAATCATATTGACATTTTTGTTTGAATATTCCATGTTGCCAGGATTTGTAGTATACTACTAGTTTTGATGTGTTGATAAGATTGTGGACAGTAGAATATTACCTTTATATGAGTGATATTAAATTTGTTTTGAAAGCATGCTGGGTATGATTTGAACAATTCAAAATACCACCAAAGTAAACTTATTTGATGTAATAGTAAGTGAAAACAATCCTCAGTACATAAATCATTCTTCATAGGATCCTGCCAAACCTGGGTGCAACTGAAGCTAATTTAAGTCAGTCATATACATTCTATTGTCTTTTTGATCTTCCACCAAAATGTAAATGAGATTACTTTCTTAATGATGAAACTTTCAAGCTCCTTGATATCAAGATATGATATAATTTAATGAGATATAGTTCAAATGAGGCATTCCTAATCCAAAACTCTAAATTTTTGTGAAAATGATGTATTAGTATTTCCCAAACCGCTCCTGCTGCTTGTGATGTGTTCTGTCCTGGCTCCTTCCCCTACAAGAACCAATCACAAGCCCTTAGGATGCGCAGGTGTATATGCCATTGTTTTTTATTTGTCTTTGTGTGAGGTTGATAACTATTGCAGGTGTGGAAGATTGCTTGAAATGTGATGTTTAGTTCAAAAGTGCTTTCTGTAAATGTGTATTACTAGCTCTGATGAGGGGTTTTCTTTAACGATTACAATGACGTTAGATTAACCTGTGCAATTAGAACTGTCTTCACTTTCATTGTCATCACTGAAATCATGCTTTGAAATAAAAGCCTAAGAATATTCAAAAGTTGGTTTCAGTAAAAAAGTCTCAGGCTTCCCTTYATTTATTTTTGATTTCAACATATTCTGTATACTGTCAGTATTGTAACTATGCCTAGTATGTCTTAAGTTTTTTCTCAAATATAACTGTTTTCATGTTGATTACTTTGGATGGAAAACATGTTTGACAGATTTCCTTTGACAGTGCACATTTCAATGAGTAATGTGTATTTTATCATTTGATTGCTTGTCCAGATTTCCTCTTCATAACTTATTTTTGAATCCTTGATTGTTTTTCTTTGGTGTGTATTATCATGAGAGCATTTTTATGACAAGGACATATTGATCTCTTTATTAGTTTAGGTTGCATAGATTATCTTGCTGTTTGTGTTACATGTAAAGTTCAATCAACATGTCCTTTACATTTATTCATTATTCTCACTTTGACAAACATGTATGCCTGTACCCCCCAAAGAAATTAAAGTCGCTCAAGGAGCGCATGTGGTTACTCCTAATACGTTTAGATTTGCCATATAATTGGATGATTTTGTGTTTAAAAAAGAGAAATTCATATGCTAATGAGGTAAAATTTACATAAGCAAAGATTTGCGTGTTTTTATTCACGCAATGAAAATTATTATTTATTTGCTTGTTTTTTGTAAAGAACACTAGACGATCTCAGATCGCATGCGTGGGCTTCCTGTGGTAATCTGAATAATGGTATACACTCTTGGTGATAAGATTATTGAACAAGTTCATTTATCAAACTCATTAATAATTCATGAGCTATTAATCCAATCAGGATCAAGYATTAAGTCACATGATTGAATCTATATCAGCCGATATAGAACTGATTAATAAAACATTAGTACTGTTTGAAAACAAGAGGTCTTACAACCTTGGCGATCGAACCCTATCTCATGTGGAGGGGTCCTTTGGCTCAATGTACAAATAGCCCATTTTCGATATTCTGGTTGACCAGGCATACAAAAGAAATGAAGGCAAGACTCCAGGGAACCTAYTGTTTCCCATTCTGTCTTCAATGTGTTGTTAGTCAGCCAGAATATCGAAAGTGGGCTATCATCTATGAAGTGATCAATAACAGAGAAAAGTTTGAAACAAGGTTTTATTCACAATCAATTGAAAAGTGAAATACTTACTTTTCAAAAAAATGATATGATAATATTTCAAGATAACAGCAACAAGAACATTCTAAACTCAAATGAATAAGTAAAGCATTAAAGCTGTGAAACTTATACTCGTATGCAAGAAAAATTTTAAATGTTAGATTTAATAATCTACATCAACATTTTGATAATGAAATAATATCTTTCATTTTTTGATAATATCACAAGATAACAGCAACAAGAACATTCTAAACTCAA